ATCTCCTGGTTTCTCACTTCCTCTATCTGCACTCTGCTGCATCTCCTTCACGTCTCACTCCTCATCCAGGCTGGCTTCAGGGATGAGGCTCTGGTCTATGCCTTTTCACTGTGGTTCAACAGTGTGATAATAGTTTCCCAACTTCTTCTGTGAGCAGTGTCTCTCTGCCATAATGGGGTGGGGGATAATTTTTTTCTGTTTCTTCCCTACAATATAATATTTTTATAATTATTTGGGAATTTTGTTCTGCAGTAAGAGAGGCTGCTTGTGCATTCCCTGGCTGCCCAGATTCCTGAAATAATCACACAGAAACTATATTATTTGCAGTACTGTTTGGCCAATAGCTTAAGTGTATTTCTAGCTAACTCTTATATCCTAAACTAACCCATTTCTATTCATCTGCGTATTGTCATGTGGCTGTGTCTTACGGGCAAGGTTCCGGCTCATCTGTCCTGGGTGGCGGCTACATGATGTCCCGTGACTCCGCCTTCTTTCTCCCCACATTCAGTTTAGTATTGTTCCCCCCCCCCCCCCCACACCACCACCACCATACCTAGCTCTACTGTGCCCTATCATAGGCTAAGGCAGCTTCTTTATTCATTAACCAATAAAAGCAACACATATACAGAAGGACTTCCCACACCATCATTCTCTCCCCATTTTTTTTTTCTTTTGAGGCATGGTTTCTCTGTGTAGCTTTGACTGTCCTGGAAATTATTCTGTAGATGAGGCTGGCCTCGAACTCACAGAGATCTGCCTGCCTCTGCCTTCCAAGTGCTGAGATTAAAAGTGTGTGCCCCCATTGCTCTTATTTGGAAATTTCATACAACATACCCTAATCACACTTGCTTCTCATTCCCTCAGGTTCACCCACCCTCCCATCCTTGTGTCCCTGCCCCACCCCCCAAAAAAAACCAAGACCAAGTCCAGTTCGTGTTGCCGTATACTCATTGGAACATGGTCAAACTTTCAGTGTCCAGCCTCTTAAATAGGAAATGGAGTAGGAGACTTTTAAGGGCTTTGGAGTTCCCAGATAACCCTTCTTGGGCACTGCCCTTGGTAGACTATAGACACCAAGAGAATCATGAACAGCAAGGTCCCTGTTCTTAGCTCATTCTCCCCTTTCCAGCTCACAGCCTGTATTTTGGCCTGGCTGCCCTTATAGTACTCAGGGACTATGAGCTGCCTTCTGATGGGCACCTGTGAGCACCTGTACTTTCTGGCAAACATCTTTGTATGAACAGCTTGAGTGTGATCTGTGATATCAGGGTTTGGATTTTCAAAGTGCATCCTAAATATTTACTATCCTTGGTTCACTATATTTTGCAAAACTGGAACCCTACCCTCCTGTCAATATACCTCTTTCGTTGGGTCTTTTACATAATAAAAAGCTTGGGTCTCAGCATTAATCATTGTGATTAATGTGATTCCACTAATAACCTTTTTCTACTTGGGAAGGCTCCAATTATGGCTGTATTTTGTATTTGGCCTTGGGCCAGTTTCTAACTCACTGTGGCTGGTTTCACGAAGCCTCAGCATGAACATTAACCTCTCCTGTCTTCACATTCTCCTGCAGACTTCAGGCAGAGCCCGTCCTTGGGACCTTCTGCTGACCCACCCTTGGATAAATAAGCCTGGCTTCCTGGGGAGTGAAGGTCTGCTTTGCTCCCTTTCAGAATGGCTCAGACCCAAGATTATTCAAGGACTCTTGATGGTTCCCCCAAAGGTGATGTCAAGCCACGTTCAGCCGTTCAGCCTCCATAATCCTTTGGCTCACCAGTCACCCTTATAATTAATAATGGAAGCTTGCCAGAAGTACTGATCTTTCAGAATGCTCTGGAAGGAGGATACTCAGAGGGATCCATAGTATAAACTTTTCACAAGATCTAGGCTCTTTTTTTTTTTTTTGATGTAGTAGAGGAAGCAGGCTGGCTCTTCAGAGAGGTAATAAGAGATAAAAGAAAGTGACCTTCAAGGTCAGACAGCATGAGATGTGTGACCTTGAGAAAATTGCTTAACTTCTTTGAGTCTTAGCTGACTCCTTTGTGAAATGGGAGTATGGTTTCCTTTGGGGTTGGAAGGACAAAAGGAATGACGCCTATAATGGGACCAGTGGCCCATTTCTACTGCCACAGTAATCCAATATGCTAGAAAATACCCAGAGATGCTAAATAGACCATATCTATGAACAGTCTTGTATTTTGTTTGTTTTTTTCATCAACAGATTTTATTCTTGATTTTTGCACCTGTTCTCACAATAGCATGGAAAAAGTGTTCAGTAGCCATACCTTATGGATAAACTCAAATGAATGCTATAATATTCAGCAACCATAACATACAGTGCTTATTTATCACATACCAATATCGGTTCACTGGCAGTTTTCATAGGATATTATCTACTAATGTCATTCATAATTTTTATGCATTATCATATGAAATAACAAAATAGAACCAGAACAAATATCCCTTTAAATGCATAGACATTAGAGGGGGAAATTCCAGGTGTCATCAAAGGGAACAGAAAGGCAGAGATAATGGTACAGTAAGCTCACAGAAGTTAGAATTTCTTGATAATATGAGATATGAGATTTTGGTTTTCAGTTCACATAGAGGAAGGTGGATCTTAGGTCTTTGTGTGGCAGGATGCTGAAGCTGGGACCTCTGAGAAAAGCTGGGTCACTATGCTTTTGAAGAAGGTATGATGGGAAGAGCCTACATACTGGCTGGGATGCTGTAGACGGATTTATGTGTCCCTTTCTGAGCTCTATGTGGGACAAATTTGCCTTCCAGCACACAGAATCATATCCTTTTATATTCTTCTCTCTATACATGCTCGGGATCCCAAACTGTGCTACCTGTATAGTCTTAGGGCCTCCTAAGATGAAAAATAAATATACCATGGATTCTAGGCCAGTGTAGAAACAACAAACTACTTTTGAGAGTTAAATAGACCCTTAACTCATCAGAAGAGCCAAAGTGAGCTTGTAGAAAAGAGAATGCAATCATTGGAACATAAACTAAGGGGTCAGGGCAAAAGCACAATAGGGAGATGCCCAGTAACCCAGGCAACCTCAAATGCTTGCCATAAATAGATGCTCAGAATTCCCAGGGACTTTTCTTTCCTTTTTCTTTTTTAAAATTTATTCATCTCTCATATCTTACTTCTCATCTGCAGTTTCCTCTCTCTCCTCTCCTCCCAGGCCCCCCCCAATCTCCCTGCCCTCTGCTCCTTCTCCATTTCCCTTCAGAAAAGGACAAGACTCCCAGGGATATCAACCAAATATGGCGTATCGAGTTGCAGTCAGACTAGGCACCTCCCTCATATTAAAGCTGAGTGAGGCAACCCAGTGGGAGGAAAAGGGTCCTAAAACCAGGCAAAAGAGTCAGAGACAGTCCCCACTCCCACTGTTAGGAGTCCCTCAAGAGGACAAGCTACACAGCTGTCCCATACAGGCTCCCTGATCGTCAGTTCAGCCTCTGTAAGCCTCTATGAACCCAGGTTAGTTGATTCTATGGTTTTCCTTGTGGTGTCCTTTAACCCCTCTGGCTCCTACAGACCTTTTTTCTTCCATCTCTTCTGCGGAATTCCCCAAACTCTGCCTAATGTTTGGCTGTGGTTCTCTGCATCAGTTACTGGATGAAACCTCTCTGATGAAGATTATGCTAGGCTCCTGTCTATGAGTATAGCAGAATATCGTTAGAAATCATTTCATTGACTTTGTTTGTTTGCCCGTCGTGATTACTGCTATCCTAGGACTCTGGACTATTCAGCTTCTAGCTGGTTCCTGGCCCTCCAGGCAGTGTCAGGGGTGGGCTCCCTCTTGTGGCATCAGTCTCAAGCTGGACCAGTCACTGGTTGACCACTCCCCCAGTTTCTGTGCCACCTTTACCCCAACACATCTTGTAGGCAGGACAGATTGTAGGTTAAATGTGTCCCAATCCCTCCACTGGAAGTCTTGCCAGGCCTCTTTAAATAAAACTTAGACGTTCAGGATAGAGAAGTACAGAAATAAATCTAGATGTTTCTAGATTTATCTGTAGCTCAGTAAATTATTTTAAACGAATAAATTTTAGATTTGTGGAGCAGTTTAAGTTCACAGTGTATGGAGTTCCCATCCCCACCCCCACCCCTTCGCACTCCCACAGCACCACATCAGCAATGGCCCTGTTACGGTTGTCTGGTACTGGAGCTTTACCTTTGGTTTCAGAGAGACCTCCACTGACACATCAGCACTCTGAGTCCATCCTTTGCATTAGGGGGCTGGAGAGTTTAATGTCAACTTGACACAAGCTAAAGTCATCTAAGAGGAGAGAGCCTCAGTTAAGAGAATGCCTCCAGAAGATCCAGCTGTAGTCAAGACGGCAGAACATTTTCTTAATTGGTGGTTGATGGGGAGGGCCCAGTCTATCAGGGGTGGTGCTCGCTTTGGGCTGGTAGTCCTGGGTTCTGCAAGAAAGCAGATGGAGCCAGTCGTGGGGAGCAAGCCAGAAAGCAGCTCTCCTCTGTAGCCTCTGTAGCAGCTCCTGCCTCCAGGCTCCAGCCCTGTTTGAGTTCTTGTCCTGACTTTCCTCAATAATGACTGTCACCTGGAAGTGTAAGCTGAAATAAACCCCTTCCTTCCCAAGTTGTCTTGGTTGTGGTGTTTCACCATAGCAACAGAAACTTTAACTGAGACAGGGTATTTCTCTTTAACATATTCTGTGAGATTAACAAACACATGATAACACGTATCCACCATTGTAGTATCAGAATAGCTTCATTGTTCTAAAAGCCCTATGTGTGTTCTTCCTATTCACTCTCCTGGTAACCATCAATATGTATCTCTCTCTCTCTCTCTCTCTCTCTCTCTCTCTCTCTCTCTCTCTCTATCTATCTATCTAATCTATCTATATTTTATTATCACCACAGGTTTTTTTTCAACAACAACAAAGATAGGCTTCTATGACAACTCCCCTGTTTTTTTTTTTCATTCAACAGCATGGAATGGTGGTTCCTCCATGCCTTCTTGGCTTGCTGACTTATTTCATTTTATATATATATATATATATATATATATATATATATATATATATAT